TTTCAAAACCGAAATACCTCAAGAGTGAAAGTTCAAATATCATATTTACTAGCATGTAAGATCCACTTTCCTTTCTGAAAAATATGCTTGAAAACTAAAAAATCAACTCTATACAAGGAAACCTCACAAAACCCATCTGAAACCGAAGATCATCTTTATGTCCAAGTAAATATGATAATTATTATTTGAATCCAAATTGTATTTGCACAAGAAATAATGAAAAACACTGTATGTATCCCCTATTATAAAATTTTCAAATTGCAATTTGGCCACAAGGTCACAGAAAGTACCAAATCTCACATACACGCACTATCACACAGACACACACTCTCTCTCTCACACACACACACACACACACACACACACACACACATATATAGAACAAGCCTCATATTTTATTTATCACAGTAAGAAGATGGAGGAAATGATGACATAGAAAATCACTATTTCTCCCATATAATTGTGAGCTTCAGCCCATCAATTTCCTCCACCTAAATAGTGTGATGATTCAGAACTGCTATATTTATGATTTTGCCTTTTTGGTATCCCGTCATCATTCATGAACCTATGTTAATAAAAAAAAAAGCAAGATATGGTTTCTTTTTCTTTCTTTTTTCATTACACCTTCTAAGCACTTACTAAATAACTTCAACTTTTTTGTTAATTACTCAACATTCACATTTTTGTAGGAAGAATTAAACAAAAACAAAACAAAAAAAAAGAAAGAAAGAAAAGACCATAAAGAAGAGATTCCAATGACAATATCTCAATACTAATAAAACAAATTTCATAGAGAAGCTCAAATGTAGAAAATAAGCAATGAATTGGTTCATTGGTGTACAATATGCCAAATGTTTCCAAAGCGGTGATCTATGTAATAAAAAATATTGATCTCTAGAAACACACAATGCATTTTTTACACAGCTAAATTGATTGCTGATCTAGAATAAAGATGGAATGCAGAGAATTGTGATATGAAAAAGACTAGTAGTGTTTCAAAAACACTTTTCATTACTAACTAAATGATACTAGCTGGAAATTAACAAAATTGTGCTGATTGCTCACTTCTCAATCTTCTATTACTGAAATAGAAGACAAAAGAGAAACTATGTGTGCAAGTGATTTTCCCCTTATCTTTAAATGTAAAAAGAAAACCATAAAAAAACCTACAATTATTAAATCAATTATATCAATATTCATGTCAAAGTAGTGGACATTCAGTCATGCTAGTCAATGCAGCAAGCATTGTATGCACTGTCAAACTTAAAAAAATATACAGAAAATAGAATATAAAATGTGTGAGATACCAAACACATCTTCCTAGTACACAACAAAAATGGTATTCTCACAGATTGTTGTGTGCACATCACAAGAATGTATGTGGACATTCAAGATCATAGTCAACACAGCAAGCACTGACATACATTTATTAAAATACTACAGAAGATGGAGTCTGCAAAATGTACAATACCTAACACATCTTCAGTACACTACAAAGATAGAATTTTCAGATTGCCATCACAGTGGACATCACAAAAATGTATACAATTTACTCCACTAAGATTACAGGTAGACAACAAAAAAGGAATACACAATTTACTCAGCTCAGATTATGTGTCCAACATTGTAATGCTATGTGTGTCTAATTTAGGGGTTTTAAATTATTGAAGACACTAAATCTTTAGAGGACATCAATACTCTACTACTACTACAAATAATAAAAGCTAGACATGAGAAACTGTGCACCTACCTGTACTACAGTTCCACAGTAGCTCGCACATACAAAACAATGGCATGATATTTTACATTAATGAGTTGTAGTAACAACATAATTACTCATTAGAACCACCATTCAACCATATTTAAACTTAAGAAAACTCTAAAAAAATATTTATTGTTAACTAAGCAAAAAGCAGAACTTCACTTTCCACCTAATGCAATTCCAGACACATGTGCACACACAGAAGTTATTACAATAGTTACACAAGTTTATGTATGACTTTAAGTTCCTCAAACATTCCTCTTATACTTATATTTCTTGTTCCGTATTGCAGCCTCTTAACACTCTCTAATGACTCAGTTGCCATTTTGGAAGGAATTGTTAACCAAGATGCTTTTAATTTACTTGCTCTTCACTACTTGCATACACAGTTCCAGGCATTTTAATTAATAGATAGATTCATTAAATTTTTTGTACAGTAGCTTGATGAGAAATTGTCTTCACTGATAAAATGTTGAAAGAATGTAATTCTTGAGCCCTTGATTATGAATATTCAACACAAGATTCTTGACTTTCATAATGAATTGAGACAACACAAATAATTTTTCAATTACCAAGAAATGAAGATTCTCCACACAAAAAACAATGTATAGTTCATTCGAATATACATCTTCGAAATGTGAGAAACACAAAGTAAAAATGTGTAGCAATACTCTTTCTGAAGTAATAATTATTGCTAAATTCTTTAAATTTATTTTACAATTATAAATAATATAATTATGTAACATTTCTCAAAATAGCAATATTTTGTTACTGCCAAAGGAATATACAGGGAAGACCAAAAAAAAAAAAAAGGTTCATTTAAAAATTTAAAACTGAAATGAATTCTACCAAGAGATTTCAATTCACACAGCAATTGCAGACACAGTTTCGAAAGTAATTGGATTCATTCTGTAGTCCTATCTTTCGTTCTGAAAATCCAACATGCTCAGAACAAAATGAAACAGCACCGTATGAATACCTGCTTATTCATTCTGAACATCAGATGAACTTACACATTACAAAAATATTAAAAATTCACAATGTACACATTTTTCGGCACAAACAAGGTTTGGGACATAAGTCATGGCAACTACATTTTTTTTTTTTTTTTTTTAGAATACAAGCACAGGTGAAAAATGTGAAATACACACATGAAAAGACAAGGTATAAACTAAGTTCATGAATATTGAACGACTCACCAAAATTGTTTCTCATATTTATTAAGGCATATGAAATTACAGTACTGATTTCATGTTCCAAAGCATTACATACCCTTTCTAAAGGCCCAATTAGGTAGACGCTCAATTACCTCATATGCCACATCGGTCGGCACACACCCGAGTCATCAAGTGTGTTACTGATCATTGGTTCTAAACATGTTGGTACACGTCCTTGCAGAAACTCTTCTGTCCATCTCTCGACTGTCCAATAAGAAATGGCATTATTGCCAAGAGGTTCCCAGTGACATTCTCAAGAATTTCTCCCATAGAAAACAGCTATCTTCGTTTAGGAGTGTTGCTTGCTTGAAATGGGTTACATCCATTTCACTGATATCACATTGCTCTCTGTGCTAATAAAGACACACACAGTTGTTGTGTCCATTGTTGTAAGGACACATTAGCACATTTCTTTCACAAGACAAATTAAATTGCCCCAATAACATATCTTTTAGAAGAAAAAAAAGTTGCCATGACTTCTGCCCCAACCCTCATATAACAGTAAAACCAGTCTTAAATGATCACTCATAGTGACGTACCATAAACAAATGGCCATTAGTAAAGGTGGATGTGTAATGGAGATTATGAGAATATTAGAAGCAGAGATTAGGTCTAATTTTTTTCTTGCAATCATGAGAGTATGAATAACTAGTTAACTCTTTTTAATTATACTCCATCGACATAAAACCAAAAGATTTTGCACATCCACACTCAACTCTTTCAAAAAATTTTAACTTAGTCTTTTGCACCCTCTTACATACCATGGATTGTAATACCAATTTACAAACTATTTCCCAACTGGACTTGAAGTTGCAGTTCTCCAAGAAAATTTTGTACAATGCATGAAAATCTATTATTGATACACACTACCATCACCCTGCAAAATAACCAACTTCCATTTCAATGTTCTACATAATCTGACATTGCATCCCAATGCCAAAGGGATTTGAAAAAAGAAATATCCGTAAAAAGACGCTGGCCTCTGACTATAGACCAAGTAATTGCCTACAAGAGGGAATATTTACACAAATCTTAGTCAAAAGACAATCAATTTCACAGAAAAATAGCTATTAATACAAACAAGTGACCATTTAATTAAAATCAGTGTTTGAGCAGGTTTCACTGTAATTTCTAATTGATAGAAGAAACATTTTTACATGTATCTTCACATGACGAAGTCAACCAACTGCTAGTGCAAGCGATTCAGTCAAAGATCATTTGCATATGGACATACTCTAAAACCCTTGACAACTGAATTTTAGTGAAGAAAAGTAGATAAAATCTGTAATTCTGCTTAATATGTTCTCACAAGTTTCAATTCCCGGAATTAATCAGAATATCTAGTTTTAATGCAAAAGCAAAGCGAATGTCACACTTTATATCGTCAACTACAAAAGAAAAGATACATTACTGAACTTAATAGTAATTTTACTTCAATATTGCCAAGCAAAACTTATTAGCCATGATTAATTAACAAAAATTAGAAACAATTTCACAAAGTGTTGAGCAAATGAAAGTGATGGTTCATGAGAAGCTCATGTTCTAATTTTCACTACTTTTATATATATTGTTACATGTGGTGTAAATACATTCAGTTTCTACAATGAACTTCAATTTGTATTTTTTGGGAAGCTGGAAAAACCCATCGATCAGCACATAGCATTAGGGTTAACGATGATCATGAATAGAACGTAAACACAATGCCACATCCAGTCTTTGATGCCCAAGTCAAATTATCTTAATAATATATACAACGTGACAGTGATAAACTTAAATATTTTTAAAATACAATGTAAGATGCATCGACAATACCTAATCACCAGATGTCTATGCTCTTTATGCACTTCTATAACGGGTTGTATTGTAGACACAATAATGAATGCGTATACAATAATGTCTTGTATTACAGACACAATAATGCATGTGTCTATAATAGTGTTGCATTATAAAGACAATACTGCATGGGTCTATAATAACGTGTTGCCTATACATGTGTATAATCATGTCTAGTGCAAATAGCGTGCTAATTAATATAATCCTCCCCTCTCTGATTATATTTTAAATTCCAATTTCCAAATCCAATAAGTCATTAACAACTAACTATTCTATTGAAACAATAAAGCAATGCTTTCATCAACTGTTCCTTACTGCATTTTTTTGCTAGTCTTATTGCACTTGGGTCAACTTGAAACAAAAAAATCAATGTCAGTTTCCAACTCTTTGAAGATAAGAGAGGAATACAAAAGTTTCTACTGAGGTCAAGTTCAGAACTCGTCAATAAGACATTGCAACATTAATGTAATATGCATTAAGGAATTAAATGTAGCAGAACTTTTATATACTCTTAAGAACATTACAAAACTAGCCAGAGTTCTCTGAGAAATTGCAGAATTTAGACAAAAACTTTCTCATGCACACTACTAACACTAACTCCCATACATTCTTTACCTGGCAGTAGAAAAATTCCAGAAATTGAGGCCCTAATTCATGTTAGCAAAATTAACAATGAAAAAACTTATCAAAAGTACATTTTAAAAATTATGAGTAGTAGAAATGGTAAAAAAAATCAAAATCCTAGGCAGACTTTTAACTCAGCGCATGTCGATAATTTTGACTTGTTTGCTGTTTCCTTGAAGCGAGTTTCATGAAACAAGCTTATTTTATAATCACAAAGACAATGATTTGCTGTACATGCTTGAAGAAAACAAGCAAGATATTAGTTATATATAAAAACCGATCCTGACGTACTAGTTAAAAGCAGTTAAAATATAGGGGAAAAACATTGTAAAATAAATGTATCTTTAAATTACACTTAGAACATAATTATTACAACCTGTACACTATTTTGTATTAATTACACGCTGCATATAAAAATAAAAACAGTTTAATACCCCAATTATTGGAGTATTGTCACAGTACAGAAACAACAATATAGTCAATAAAAAAATATCTTCTTCCAAGGTACGGTCATAATCCAATACTAGTTCGTAAAAAGTTTGAAGCGATTTTATTTTTAAAATTTTTGTCACATTTATATGGCACTTTCAGAACACGTAATAAATAAAATATTATGATGACTGATTATTTGATACAATTCGGCATCCAGGAGAGGACTTTAACTGTTCATCTGTGGGCTTGCCTAACACTCGAAAAAATTTCAGAATGCTTTCATGACCTTTCTTGTGAAGTTTTTTAGTGTTTTCATTCTTACATGAATTACGTTCTGTCACTTTTTTAGGAACACTGTTTTCTAAATCACTAACTTTACCATGTCGTAACTCAGTAAGCCAATCTAAGCGCTTTTTTCGGTAAGGCTTGCATACATGTGAAGGCGATGTCCCATCAACAACATGGTTTGGCAAATTTGATGTAGGTGAAAAAGGAGTTTTCTCACACGTATCAGAAGTGTGATTTGGTAAATTAGATGTGGGTGAAAATGGAGTTTTCTCACACATATCAGATGCGTGGTTTGTCAAATTTGAAGTGGGAGAAAATGGAATTTTCTCACATGTATCAGAAGCAGTAAATTGACAATAGTTTTTCTCTTCATCTTCGCTATTAGATATAAACTCACTAGAACTGGCACCTACCAAAGAGTCTTTGTCATTAACATCAAACCTGTTAGTAACATGAGATTGAACTGATAAAGATTCACAATTTTCATCATTAACAGAAGAACTAATAAATAATCTCCTAGGACTTAACCGTCCTCTTAATTTGATTTTCTTGTTTTGCCTATCTTCAGATTCATTTTCCAACATTTCCTCTAACACTCTCTTTCTATTGTGGCCTGCACTAATGAATAGTTTTGACAGAGTCCGAGTTTCAAGAGTTGGACTAGCTATTTCTGATTCATTAGGCGGGACTGATACATTTGCAATTAACGGAGAATTTTGAATACTTTGGGTCGTAGGTGGAAGTACACTCTTTACTTGACTTACTTCAGCATCAAACTCCATATCTTCTGATTCCATTTTATCACAGTCCCAAAGATCTGAAGATGTATTGGATGCATTAATAGCAAATATTTCACATGGCTCACATTCTGGGAAAGCTGCAATCTGAAACAAAATATTTCTTACTTAACAAGATGAAGAAGTCTCTTACAAATCAAAAATGGCAACTTTGAATTCATCTAAATTCACATCCATGAACACATGAGTACATTATTAGTAGGACATGTTCTGATGAAGATTGCCAGTAAAGATATTTCATTACTTTTTAATTCCTTTCACAAGTTATTCGATTTTAGGTGAAATGAAACTTGCTACAGACCTTTGGTTAGAAAATATCAAACTATCCAGATTTTTAATGTGAGAGGCATGTGCAAACAAAGATCAGATTAAGATTACTCTACAGATATCAATGCAGAGTTCCAAACATATGAAGATAGAGATCTATATCTTTGGATAGAGATAGAGATCTATATCTTGGAGATATATATCTTTTTGTCTTTAGAGATTCATTAAAATCTTACTGTTACATATTTTTCAACTGAGTAAAGGAGCTTCATATAGGAGTGTATGTTGTCTTTTCACAAAGGTGATGTCGTACGTGTGACTAGATGTTTTCAAGAGTGCGTGTGAGCGGCGGCGATGGTGTAACAGTTAGCGTATCGGACAGTTATACCCAAGTTCTAAACCAATCGAAATAGAAAGTTTGTAATCTCTCCTGATGCATTCTTTGCCAGGTGACAGTCTTTGATGCGACTTTGCACGCTGTTCGCTTTGCGCTCGCTTCCGGAGCTTATCTGATAGTAATAACTGATTTTTCCAGAGAAGTAGCGAAACGAGGTGAAGCCGCTCGCCCACTTGCCAGAGCCTGTATTACAGCAGCACAAGCGCGCAGTCCAAAGTTTAACATTCAGTTTAACAATATTATTTACAAAACTAAACGACAGGGAGTATCCAATTATGTCAAATTCAGTCTGTACATTACATAAGGGATAAGGTATTAGCGTATTAGCAACAAGCACTGAATCACCCTGTGTGTGTGTGTGTGTATTATACAGTGACAGTCAATGAAGTAGAGCCACCATGCCATGCTAAGGAAAATAAGGAATTTGTTTTGCAAATAACCTTCATTTATAAATAAATAGCATATCTTTTATTTTTTACTCAATATGGAAACAAAAAAATAAACATTGATATGAAATTCAGATCTAAATTATTTTACAAGTAACAAAAACTTAATAAAAAGTATCTCTCTAAGAAGTCAATAAAAAATATAGCCATCTGATATCACGCCTTGGAAAAATAGCAAAAGACCCCGCAAAAATCTCTCTTCAATGGGTTAATACGTGGTAGGATATCCCTTATTTTATAGTATAGCCTGGCATCTTCGTCCCAATGAACTCACCTAGCGTCTAGTATATTCCTGAACTTGTGTTGAATACCATGCCTTTTGTATTTTTTCTCACAGTTTGTCTAAATTAGTAGCTCTGAATCGATCAATCCTTCTATCAATACATTCCCAGAAATATTCAATTCGATTTAAATGTGAGGACTGCGAAGGTCAATCCAAAACTGCCGCTTCTCAACAAAGGACTTCATTAACTTTGTGGTATGTTTTGGGTCGTTGTCCTGCGTACACTTCCAGAGGAAAGAAATTTCCTCACTAGCATAAGGAAGCATACTTGATATTAATATTTCTTTGTATATTTCCGCATTTATAATTCCTTTTATATGGAACAATGGACCTCTACCACAAGAAACATTCCCACACTATCTCGTTTCACAGGTTTTAAAGTGAACTCGGGATTGCTTTCCTGGTTTGGAGGGCGTCACTCGTACACTTTTCCATCAGAAGAAAACCTATAATCTACCACTGAAAATCCTACTTTCCCTTATCTTTTTGCACAAGCTAGTCACTTCGCAATATTTCGTTTAGACACATGTTCGGGTGGGCAGCGATCTGGCGTTTTGGAATTCACATTGTTTTTTTTCGGTTTTCCAGGGTTGAGATCATAAATTTTCCAGGTTCTGTTTCGCACATTACAACATATATTTACTTTTTTTTATTTATGTAATGCTGTGTGATAAAAAAATAAAAAGAAACGAATTTTCGGGAGAGAAAACTATTACAAGACCCTAGAAACGAAAAAGTGGATAAATTTAGCTGCTAAATTTAGAAGAAATAACCTCTAACACGTGATGTAGCCAGAATCCCTGTTTTGTGTGTCTTTGATAATGGAAAATTGATAGATGTCAAAACGTCTGTCTGAACAACACTAGTGGCTACATCGTTCAGCCTTTTTGCTACAAAATTGTCATTCTCGGATCGATCTGGCTGATGTTGCGGGTCCTTGAATGTGAAACCGATATTTTAATTTTGGAGGGTACTTTTCATGAAGCCAATGAGACATTTTCAGAATTTTCCAAAGGATGGCACCATTGATTTTGATTAAATTTTGTTGTTGGATAGTGTAAAGGTCTTTCAAGGGAATGGTGCAGGTCTCATATTAGTTTACAATCAAATTTTTCGAAAATTGCAAATATTCAGAATTTTTTTCGATGAGTACCTACAACTAAAATATTACAGATGGAGATTTTTCTCTTAATAAAATCTGTTCCCTGAAGATAATTTCAAAAATAGGTCGTGTACCCTTTTTCGAAAATTTCAGTATTTTTTGCGTAATATTTACAAAGCGTCTAAAATAATTTTTCTTGATGAAATATATTCATAAAAATCAAATCTTCGAATAACGTCATGTTGAATTTTTGGAAACAATATTTTTTTAGTAATTTCGTGACAATAGCCAGTTCCCAATTCACTGCACTTCGTTTACGTAATAGAGGTAATTCCAGAAGGATGTTTCATCAGTAAGAATTTGTATATTTTTCAAATTTCTTTGATCGCTTCTTACATTCCAACTTTTGTTATACTTTACAAATTAATCTTTGATAATTTATTTAACGCCTAATTTAAATTGGAATTTTTTATTGAGTTAAATGTGATAACGAATAGATGATTTTGCTTTGCACAATAATGTTGGAATGAAGAGTAATGCGCGTAAAAACGAGTAGTTTTGATGAATATAACAATATTATTTTTAATAATATTTTTGCAACCACTTTTTTCTTTCCGGGTATCAACAATGCTATTTGCAAAATGTTTCATCCCATACGAATTACCGATCATTGTTAGATCAGTAATGCTCAGTTCGTTTCCGAAAATACGGAAATTAAGAGCTCGTTTTCACAGAAATAATTTTAGCTTTAGAAGAACTTTATAACACATCATTTAAAGCATATTTACTAGTAAATTGCAAATAATGTGAATAAATTGCTGATAATGCAAATATTGTCGACGTGAGAAAAGTAAAAAAAATGCAATTTTGTAATTTTTTAATAAAATAAACGAAAGGTTAGGGCGATTTGGCGTTATTTCAACACATAGACATTTAGTTCTATCCCTACAAAAAGTTTAAAGAAAATAATTGAAGCCATTTTTGAAAAAATACCGTTTTCGTTATTTTTAATATTGCATAATTTCAGTATATATTGCGCGAAAACCACTAAAAGTTTGAAAAAAATTTCATGACCTTAATGAAACAACTAATTATGGATAACAAATTTCATTTGAAGGAAAAATCTTGATCTTCAATTGTGTAGTTGTAGGAAGTCGCCGACAAAAATCAAACTCATGCAATTATCAAAAGTTCTGAGATAACAGTGAAAATCGGATCTATGCCACCTTTGTGTGTAGTGTATTTTACTCTATTCTTACAAGAATTTAGAGAAAAAATGGGAGCAATTTTTCAAAAAATTTTGAAAATGACCCAAGGAATTCTTGTTAATTAAAATTAAAAATGTTTTTAAAATCGCAGAGCTAAAGTCAGGGGTCTCTTCGATTTAGAAAAAAATCCTCAGCATGGTTTAGGTGCTAATGTTGTTCACATACACCAGACGGACGGCGGGTCGTTTAAGTCTATCGTTTCTTTGGTATCGAGGACCCAAATATGGATTCTGGCTACACCACGTGTTAGACGACTTTTCCCCTAAATTTAGCAACTGAAACTACGTTTACGTTACCAGGGCCATAAAAGTTTAGGTCCCGAAAGCCCTTCCCCTTTTTCTTCTTCCAGCATTACATAACTTTCTACTGCGTAAGCGAAAGCGAGAAAGTAACTAGTGGTGCAACAGAATGGCACAGACTTTCCAGTATTTTCTATTTCCATTGGTCTGGCCTAGATATTGGAACTTGCCACATATTTTAAGAATATCAAAAAACAGAAAAATATCGTGCTAATTGGCAATTTTGATTTGAAAAAATTTGAGCTGTTTTTAAGAAAATGGCGCTTAAGCCATTCTATAAATTCAAAATTTGATGCTCTTTCCACAGAAAATTTTTGAGTTTTCGGAAAACTTCATTAGGAGCCGTTTGAAGCACATTAACTCACAAATAAAAAAAGTGTTTGCAAATTGCTGGAAATGTGATAATAAACGGCGTCAGATCTAAAAAAAATCACATTTGAGTAATGTTTAAAAAAACAAAAAAAGATTGCACAATATGAACTTTACGTCATATTAAAGAGTGCAATAAGCACTACCCATTAGAAAAGTCTGAAGGACAATTTGGAACAGTTTTTGAGAAAATGGTGTTTGAGCGTTCCTGAAAATGCGGAATTTTCAGTTAATTTTCACAGAAAACTGTCAAGTTTTCGAGAAACCTTATATATCATCATTTAAAGCACATGTACTCATCAATTTAATAATGTAAACAAATCGCCGCTAACGTAAACATAAACGACGCCAGACACAAGTAAAAAAAATATTTTTTAATAATTCTTGAATAAACAAAAGAATAGAGCAAACTGATGTTTATGTCATCTTATAGAGTGCAGTTAGAAATATCTCTAACAAAAGTTTAAAGAAAAATTTGGAGCCGTTTTTGAGAAAGTATTTTTTGTAATTTTTTTAAATTGCAAATATTGCATACAACTACAAAATTTTTAAAAAAATGTGCATGACTTGAATAAAAAGAATTCAATATGGAGAACAAATATCATTTGGTGGGAAAATCTCCATCTTCAATTTTGTTTCAGGAAGAAGCCGAAAAA